TATGGTGCTGAGGAATAAAGAGTCTATAGCAACAAATTATAAATATATATATTTTTAAAATAGTCTTTTGCTGGTCCTGATAACCAGGCAGTTGTTCATAAAGAGTTATTGACATTTGAACTATCGGTATATGATTCACTGACGTTTAAGGTTGACTGTAATAGATACAACCTTCGATTAAGTGAAAAGAGCTCTAACATTTCATGTCATTCATCAAGAATACAGACGCTTCTCCTTATAAAAAAAAATTGTTAAAATATTCAAACATGTTTGCATTAGAGCTTCTAAATATATGATACTGTTGTATAATATAAATTGAAAACGATCTAGGCAATGTGAAAGTGTTGCCAACTTTGCTAACTGTGTGGCAAAAGGCGGAATGCTTGACGTTATCTAGTAACAAATATAGAGTGTATTTATTTTGTAGAGCCACTGTAGGAGTAGAGTAAATGTGTATGGTTCGTAGTACGCAAGATATTTACATGAAAGACAAAGGAAGGTATTTTCTCATGTACTATGTATACACGTAGCGAAATTACAATCAAAACATTCTCCGTAAACATTTGTTGAATTATTATATTTACATATTAAACATTTGCCGACGTGGATAACCACTTGTGCAAAATACTATAATAATAGCAATTGCTATAAGGCAGTCCGTGCGTTCACATATAATAGGTAGAGATATATTTTTATTGGTGATTTTGTGGTGACAAATCCGATAGTGTATAAAGTTTTTTTAAATTTATTTATTCAATTTCAAGAACAATTTTTACAAAAAATGACTATTCTTTATCGCTAGGCAAAAACTTAGTGGTTTAACCACCTAGCGATGAGCAAACAAGCTCGACACTTAAATTAACAATTCACCATAATATTTATTGGTTCTATAGTATATGTTTACATTTAAATAAGTGCTATAGATATTATACTACAAACTAAGATAGTGTCTCTTTAAAATAGTTTTGCGTTTCTTGATATCACCCTCATTGTCACTTAGCACTGTGTTTGGTAGATCGTTTAGAATTTCTGGAAGCATGTAGTCCGGCCTGCGCATAATATATTCGTTGTTGTATCAAAGTTCAAATAGTTTCTCGTTCAAAGTTGACACACACAGTGTACCATGGTGAAAATGACTGATAATATATATTGTAATTGGAAAACTTATTTACACTGATTTGACATGTGCACCTCTATGTTATCTTACCTACATTATTTCATCATCACTTTGCTTGCACTTAAACGTGGCAGAAAGTCAGAAGAGGAGATGACTGCTACCACAGATAATATAATACTATACTAGTATACCCAATCTCATACAAAGAAATGTCCGCACTCGTAAATCCGCTCGGACGGTTATATTGATTCTTTACGCTGATCAATATATGGTACCAAGTAAACCCGCGATGCGATTGTAATAATATTCGAAATGGCCAACAGATGGCAGCGATTACATTTTTGTCAACGTTTATTGCTCTTGTTCAGGTGTTGATTATGCATATACGATAATGTATAATGACAAAGAAGCTGCGCTTCTAAGTCAGTGCTAAAAGTTACTTGTTTTGAAAACAAATTCAAAGAAATATCATATATACAATTTATTGCAAACTAATAAATCAAAAAGTAATGTCTCAATGACTGCAACTTATTAGCTTCTCAACGACAGTTTACTGTTTTCACCAATTATCGTAATTGTATATGAATTTGAATTAAACATTCCTAAAGTTTGTTTAAATAATTTTGCATTTGCTTTTTATATTTTATACTTCTTATTTGGTATAACATACCTCAAATTTTCAAGATTCAATACGTTATACTTTTTATTTTATCCAAGTGACGTCGTCTATGGTTTTAAATATATACTAAAGTTAATTTATATGAATCGAACCCCATGCTGCTACGAACAGAAATTAGCACTCAAAACGTTATAACTGCAGTATACGTTACTAAGAAAATGTTCCCAAACAAGAAAAGCCGTATCCGTGCAAGGTGTGGTTCTGTAAATTTCGAGATCACCGTGAGTGAATTTGGATAGTTTCAGGTTCTAATTGCCTGTCTGCGCGAAATAACTAATTATGTTAGATCTATCTGTAGAGGCAGCCTGCAGTGTTAAAGAAGACCGACCTTATGATACGTTTTAGTTCCGTGATCCCTAGGCGCACTGTAAAATTATTTTATACTGTCGCTGTTTCAATATTGTAAAATCGCCGTAGCGACACTGGTATGTACTGTCATAATAGTCATAGTGACAAACAAGTATTATGCAAACTGTACACTAATTATTTTAAAACGTGAAACACATTGAAAGCGGGTGCGGGTCGGAACCCGACCAGCACCCGTTTCGTGCCCGCGCGTTGTGTGTTGTCGTCCTTATAAATACAAGGAATTGCACCCGCTGTACTCCCGACCCGACATACGCCCGCCCCGCACCCGCTGTCAGTGTGTTTCACGTTTAAGAGTTTAAATTGGGGCATGAAGGTCAACAGATTGCGATCTGTAACTGCTGTAGCTCAGTTGGTAGAGCGGTTGCCGTGGCTTGGCAAAACAGACATAGGTTTGAGTTCTGTTAGACCGAAGGAATATTTCTTTGTGTTCGATCTTTGTATTGATAATTATAAAAAACTAGTATACTTATTTCACAAAAGAATATCAAAGTCAAGGTCAAAAATAATTTTATTCCATAGGTAAAATATATTTACACTTTTACACTTGAAAACGTCACATTAAATTACATTACATTAAGCTACTGCTCGCTCACTACGCTGACTTCCCTGAGAAGAACGAGCACGAAACTCTAGGGATTGCTCTTTTCAAATAAACTTAAATGCTATGGAATACACTTTCAATCAATTTTGTGTGGATTCTGGAGCCGTGTCGTCTTTCCATATATCTTTATCTAACACGTAGCCTTTAATTTTGTAATATGACTTTTCAATCAAAATATTTTTAATGCAGTTTTTCAACTTAGGAATCTTATTGTAAAAACGTATACAGTTCCCCAGAAAAGAGTTGTTTACCTTGGTTAGACGAAATCGTAGTACCATGAGTTTGGACTTAGTTTTAAAGTTAATATTATGAATATCTTCTTTCTTATGGAAATTATGTATATTTTTACGGGCATATAAAATATTTGAGTAAATGTATTGTGATGCCATAGTCATGATACCAGTCTCCTTAAACTTTTATCTTAGAGTTGTCTTATCATGGTAGTAGAACATAATCATTACAATCAATATCATACTTAGTAATAAAATTTATACACGGAAACAGAGGCACGTCATGCATTCCTTTATTTTTTCCGTAGAAGTAGCAATGCTTGTTATATATAACATTTAAGAGCTTTTCAAGTATGCCTAAACATATTTCATTAGTTTTCTGTAAATTTTTGCAAATATAAGTTACTGTTTCACCGGAGTTGCGATATGTGAAAAGTTTTTAGTTTGTTATTTTGTCTGTTCTTTGATTATAAGCGAAAATTTATAATTAGTTTTACTTAGTGGCTATACAGATTTCATAAATAAATATCTATTAAAAACGTTTGCTATAAACTCCAAAAGTCCACTAGGGTAATGTGTACTTCTTACATGCAGTGCGTGTTCAGGTGCAACAGAGCTCTAGATTTTCATAATAATTTTCTACACAAAACATTTTCCCAAACAATTAATGGTCCACTTAACTACCTTCCTTTTCCTCTCTTAATAATCATAATAAAAAACCCTTCTAACCCCTATTGAATCTTTTCAGAAGATCCCATCTTCCCTCCCGGTCTGTCCATGGCGTTTGGTATGTTTCTGTCTCACTCTGAACTAATCACGTTCTCATACGAAGTGTGATGGAAGATCATTAGGTAATTTGACCGCAGCTTAGAGGTGTTAAACCTTTGGAATGCTTTAGTCAGTTGGATTTTATTAGAGTACTTTGCACACCTAGTGTTTGTTGTTCGAAATATTGTTCTTATTTACCTCTGTTAACACCAAGTAAAGTGTTGTCAATATATTAGCTGACGTCATTATTGATACCATAGCAACCTAAAGTTACCTTTAACAGTTTCGGTATAAGGTTAATATTCCGTTAAGAGTACGCAGTGACATTCTATATACGAATTATTGGAGGTTTTGAAAATTTACACGTCGTTATTAGAGGACAGTAATCGTTCTTTTAGTTAGTTTAGATATAAGGTTAATTTTGTAATGCCTTTTTCCGGATTAAATAATTTCTCAACAATAATTATATTCGTCGGTTTTCGTAAAGCTCGAATGACCCGACCCTCGGACTTTAGAAAATAGTACTGTAATAACGTGTTTAACATACAGGTTAGGTACTAATAAATTGTAACAAACGGTGAAACTTCTGGCACGTGGGACTTGTCAACTTTATGTCTCAGGACGGTGGGCACAGTGACCTCTCACAAGTTTGTGATGTAAAAGTTTGAGTGGCACTGCGACTGCTATGGACAAACGTGTCGGTTACCAACAAGCCCAGGACTTGTTCGGTATGTCACTTCTATAGCCCTTAGTTGAAAGGGTACAAGTGACATTAAAAAAATAAATTGTTATGTATATTGACGTGATCAGAAACGGCCATCTGTCGCCATTTTTATTTTTTCCTAGGTGGATAAGGTGTGATGTAGTTACCACAAGAGAAAAGTAGATATTTCACGGCTTTAAGTTTTTTCACACGCGCCCTTTCAACTAACAGCGGCAGACTTTATAAAATTAAAGAAAAACAGTAGGCACGGACACTTTTATTTATTATTTTTATTTTCAGATTTTCGAGAAATGTACGATATAAATTAATTATGAAAACTGAATTATCAAAACGATTCGTCAGAATGATTATGTCTAGACAGAAATATAAGTTCGTCTTTTTGTATACAAAAGTGAAATATTTCAAATAGAAGATTTTTGATTTGTATTTAAGATTAATCTTTCTGATTCAAACTATCGATTCTAAAATTATACGTATCTAATTTGTTTGCAACGTATATAACACAGACTTACCTTTGACATACAAAGAGGTGGGTTTGGAGAATTCGGTGCCAATGGAGTTTTCAGCGACGCACTCGAAGCGGCCCTGGTCTTCTTCCTCACTCTTTACTATTTGTAGCGTACCTTTAAAGAGACAGATATAGTTATTCATTTAGACATTGATTAATCACGAAATAAGTCTTTTTACAAAGCGTAGCTATTTTAATTTATCTTGAATCTTTCCCTACCAATATTCATAGTGTCTTTGAAAGACATTACGTCTTTGAAATTGCATGTGGCTACGGTCTTGGAATTTACTTTTAACTTTGACCTTCACCTGATTGTAATAATGAGTGATCATAGTAGGTAGAGCTATTTTTGCTACTTACTACATTCAAACGTAATGTGGATGTGGCGTTTTTAACAAATCGTTAATCAAATAACGCTTAGGAAATGAAACTATTTTTCCGGATTTAAATCGCGTATATTTGTTTTTTCAAACAAACCGACGTTTCGGGCCCTTTACAGGTCCCATGGTCACGGTTGACTGCCGAACCGTGACTAAAACGGGAAAAAAATCGAGATCCAGAGTGGTCTCGAAAATCCCAGGAAAAACGGGAAGTTCGAGACTACTTCAAAAGTATGTTTCCATACTCATAGGCTAGGCATTTAAGCAGTTGTAACATGCTATCTTAATAAGATATTTATTAACTCAAATTTTACGGTTTAACGGTTGACTGCCGAACCGTGACCATGGGACCTGTAAAGGGCCCGAAACGTCGGTTTGTTTGAAAAAACAAATATACGCGATTTAAATCCGGAAAAATAGTTTCATTTCCTATGTGTAACAATCGCGAAAACCTAAGAACTCGATACAAATAACGCTTTTTTTGTGATATCAAGTAATGGGACGAATAAGTCGTGCGCCTGGTGGTAAGCGACACGCCTACCCATAATAGTTGTAATGCGGCTTAGTGCTTTGAATAGCAAAGATTTCAGGGGCACTGCCACTGCGCCTGTCACCCTGAGAAAAGTTGACAAGCCCCATGTACCTGTAATTTCACCAACACCCTTATCCTTCAAAACCGGAACACAGTAATGCTGACATTCATAAGTAGTTCTACAGACGTCTTCTCGGGATTAAAAACAAAAATTATACTTTAAATGATTTATGTGATTTGAATCTGATCGTAAAAAATATAAACTTCAGATAAAAAGCTAATAAAAATCATATTTTAAGCTTATAAAACAAACATTGTTTTTTGGCCTTAAATAGAGGTTACATCATGAAACAGCACAAAAGAAAGCGCTTTCCGTTGAGAGACGCAATAAAACCCTTTTTTTTAATTTTTCTTGGAAAAAGTCAATATTATTCATTTTATAAGAAAGTTTGCGTTATTCTTCATACATTTTGTACAAACGTACTTTTTTAACAAATTTTATCAAAGATCACTGTTGTATTTTTTGTGTTGTATAAGGGAAAAATAATGAAAAAAAAATCCATCACCTCTAGTTTATTTACGAATCACACATTAAGTACACACTTTTAAAACTTTTCTATCATACATACTAGTTTTTTGTATTTAAAATATTTACAATATTATTACTAATTTTTTATCCTTATAAGGGGGACAATATGAACAACGTTAGTTTAGAATGGCACCATGAATCAGCCGTTCTTTTGTTGCATTGTTGTATTGTGGTTCTATGAACAACATGAAAAATACCAAAAGAAGTTTAGATAGAAAGTGAAATCGACTATAAAGACTTATTATCATGTTATAGTATATTTTTATGTATTGTTTATGGGTTAATTAATATTGAGTTCTTTGCGAGGTTTTCGCGAAATTAAAACATAACAAACCTTATGTGATAGAAAAAATCATTATCATTCTTGAAATGAACACCAAAGTCCACTTAAAAACCGATTATCAAAATTATATATCAACTTCTTATAAATAACTATTTTGCAGTGTACTTAATAAAATGTCTTAAACTATATTTTCCAACAATTTATACCCCACTTAAAGAATGATCTAGTGCTTCCAAAACTACGGAATAAGTGCAATGTTCTTAACATTTTATTCTGTAGTAAATAGGGGTTGATTTATAGACCAATAACCGAGGCTATTACGAGCGTGGTGGCTTGGCCTGTTATTAAGTCGAATTTCTACAACACCTGCTTAAAACAACCGGAACGGGTTAAAACTCTGAAGTGTTGTGTTGAGGTTTCAAAAATGAAGAAGACAACCACCGAATAATAAATATCGGAGCATGGATGGAGGGAGAAAAAAATCTAACCTATAACATTCCACCCCGCAATTCCTTTTGGAAGAGTTCGTCCAGGGAAGTACTGTCACCTTATCTATTTCTGCTACCAAGCAGTAATGATAGCATTACTGCGTTCCAGTTTTCAAGTGTAAGGGTGAAATTACAGGCTCAACGGACTTGTCAACTTAGTCTCTGTGTAACGGGCGCAGAGGCAATGCCTGTCAAATCTTTGTGATTTAAGTGGCACTGTAACTGTTTTGGACAGGCGTATCGCTAATCACCGGGTGCATGACATGTTCGTCCCGTCTCTTGATATTATTAAAAAAAACACACATTTAAGTAGTTGATATCACAAAATAGAAAAATATTTTTTTCATTTTTTATTCTCTTCTCCATAACACCATTTAAAAATAAACTTTAAAAAAATAATTAAATAGTAGCTTAGGCATCTAGCAGTGTTTGCCGCAAACCTGAAAATTGCTACACATTTTGCGCAGAAATATTTCATTCACTCAAAAGATATACTTGTATTCTCGATATTTAATATTGTATTGTATTATAAAGAAAAACGTAATTCGTATAACTGGCAACATTATGTCAATACAGCATTGTCACATATGACCGGAAGCACAATTGCGGAAATATTTCTGTAATAAAATAAGTAATAAAAAATCCAATAGATAGTCGTACTGTGTTATTAAAGCTGTTAGCCGTTTAGGCGTTACCGCAATTACCACACACGAAATTATGTACGGACGACTTAAACCGAATTCGTTTAGAGTCAGTACAGTGTGCAATGACCTAAACTCTCCCTAGAGACGACCCGTGTCCATCCAATATACAAGGTGTATATTGGTTAATTCAGCACGTTCAAGAACGCACCTCTTTTATAGAAGACGTAAGGTTTAGAATTCAAATTAGTTCATGTGCCTAACATACAAATTACCTGGATATTATAGTAATTCTTGATTAAATTTTTAGTTAAATGTGCTCAGCCGCTATAGAAGGTGTCAACACTGTACCTATCTTTGCAGAGTAGTGCATTTGGGAACTGATGAGTGTATGGAGACCAACTAACTACGATAGGAAAAGCGCTAAACGCCCAATGCACTAAATATATTTACAAGCTTCAGTGCCTTTACTATGAGTATACTGTGATAGTTGTCGCGTAAATTACTTCAAAGTTTTGTATGGCGAATTATACAGCGCCCCTAGCGGTCATAAGAAGAAACAACATTTTGTATACAAGCATTTTACGCGTTCGCTAGCGATAATTGTCAATGTAAACAAACATATGGTAGAGGCAGCAAGTAGCTTCTGCTACAACACTTGCTTAAAACTATTGACTTCAGTTTTGTATGAAAAACGTATTTTTCTATATTATGACCCTATGGTCATAATATAGAATATCGGGAAATTTGAATGCTATGTTTTCACAATAATGTACACTGGGCGTTTACGTGGCCATAGGAATAATATTATCTGGGCCTTAATCATTACACATATCGCACCAGTAGATTGAAAGTTACGTAATTCTAAAATTTAACAGAATTGGTTCATACCGTAAAACGACTTTAAAAATCATTGTTCATATGGTTGTTAATCTGGAACTGACACTTTAAAACTCGAATGGCACAGATTCGCTATATAAGTTTTGTTTTCATTATATTTTAAATTCCACTCCCGCGTTGGCATGTAAACGCCATATTTATTGTTGAAGCTGTGTCTGCAAATACAACACGTCACCACCGCTGGCGGAAAATAGATGAAGAAACGAATATTTGTTCCGATAATCATCATAATTTCTATACATTTTCCTGGACTGAGATTACTTTAGTACATTAAGAGTAATTAATTAAATAATGTAAAAATATCACAACTTCAATCTTATTTTGTATACCGTCACTTTCATTTGAATGGTGCGATATTATGTACATTTAGATGGAAACGGGGCATTACTAAGGGAGAGGTCTTCTATCTCTGTGATGTACACGGGGTTAATCACAGAGACAGAAGACTTAAGATCTTGAGCAAAAGAAGGAATGTTTCTTTGGAACCTGAAGGTCTATTATGCGGCGGTAATACTACTTTTCCGTCAGATGGACGCTCGGTTTATCAGTCCATTTGATTAACATAAAAACTTTGTAGATACCGGAGTAACTCCAACCAGAACCAATTTCGTATACATTGTTTTAGGAAACCAACCTCTTCAGGGTTTGTAATCGCGAAGCGTTTGACCGATAAACTACCGCATTTGTCAATTTTATATAACTATGATTTCATCACATCAACAACATCGTTTGTTGGTTTAAAAAATCCACTAACCTGGCAGCTGGTGCAAATTCTCAATTGGGTCCCCTAACTTTCAAGTCCCAGTTGGGAACTAGAGCAAGTTGCAAAAGTGGTGACGCACAAAGAAATGCAATTACTGACGCCTTTGAAAAAACGTCGCTAAGTATTGTTAGAGAGGTTTTACGTTGAATATGAATCACGATTGCGTTGTAGTGCTTTAAAGCTTTCAAACATTTTAAATTTTCTTATCTAAGCATTTGTAATATTGACTGTAATTAACATTATGATGTTTTGTTATCATGATATTCATTTATTTTTTTGTGAGTTTACCCTGCTAGTATAATATAATTAACCGGCTTCAAAAAGGAGCAGTTTCTCAATTCGACTGCATTTTTTTTGTATGTAGGTTACGCTAATAACTAATATATATACTATAACTTGTGAATCGATATTGATTCGATATCGAAGAAACTATTCCACTTCTAAGGGTGGCAAACTAGGGGTTGAATCCGGTTTCCCGCACGTGACCGATTTCAATAAAAGTTGGCAAATAGATGTAATTCCTCGAACTTTTGAGGTCC